GACCAACTGGCCCGTTGGTCGAATGGACCGGTTGGACCAACTCGCCCGTTGGTCCAATGGACGGGTTGGACAAACTCGCGCGTTGGTCCAATGGACCGGTTGGACCAACTGGCCCGTTGGTCGAATGAACCGGTTGGATCAACTGGCCCGTTGGTCAAATGGACTGGTTGGTCCAATTGACCGATTCGACCATCTGACCCGTTGGTCCAATGGACAGGTTGGACCATCTGGCCCGTTGGTCCGATGGACAGGTTGGTCCAATTGGCCCGTTGGTCCAAGGGACCGGTGGGACCATCTGGCCCGTTGGTCTGATGGATCCTTGGGACCAATTGGCTCGTTGGTCCGATGGACGGGTTGGACCAACAGGCCCGTTGGTCTGATGGACCGGTTGGACCAACAGGCCTATTGGTTTGAAGGACCGGTTGGACCAACTGGCCTGTTGGTCCAATGGACGGGTTGGACAAACTGGCCCGCTGGTCCGATTGACGGGTTGGACGAACTGGCCCGGTTGTCCGATAGACGGGTTGGACAACCTGGCCTGTTGGTCCGATGGACCGGTTGGACCAATTATCCCGTTGTTCCGACGGACTGGTTGGACCAAGTATCCTGCTGGTCGAATGGACCGGTTGGACCAACTGGCTTGTTGGTCGAATGGACCGTTTGGACCAACTGGCCTGTTGGTCCAATGGACAGGTTGGAACAACTGGCTCGTTGGTCGAATGGACCGGTTGGACCAACCGGCCCGTTCATCCAATGGACCGGTTGGACCAACTGGCCTGTTGGTCCAATGGACCGGTTCAGGCCCGTTATTCAAAGGATAGGTCGGATCAAATCGCTTGTTTGTCCAATGGACCGGTTGGACCAATTAACCTGTTGGTCCAATGGACCAGTTGGACCAATTGGTCCGTTGGTCAAATGGACCAGTTGGACCATTTTGCCCGTTGGTCAAGTTGACTGGTTGGACCAACAGGCCCGTTGGTCCAATGGACCGGTTGGACCTATTGGCCGGTTGGTACAATGGACCGGTTGGACCAACTGGCCCGTTGGTCCAATGGACCGGTTGGACCTACTGACCTGTTGGTCCAATGGACCGGTTGGACCAATTGGCCCGTTGGTCCAATGGAGGGGTTGGACCAACTGGCGCGTTGGTCCAATAGACTAGTTGGATCAACTGACCCGTTGGTCTAATGGTTGGACCAACTGGTCTGTTGGTCCAGTGGACCGGTTGGACCAACTAGCCCGTTGGTCCAATGGAGTGGTTGGATCAACTAGCACGTTGGTCTAGTAGACCGGTTGGACCAACTAGCTCGTTGGTCCAATGAAGGTGTTGGACCAACTGGTCTGTTGGTCCAGTGAACCAGGCTGGACCAACTAGCCCGTTGGTCTAGTGCACCGGGTGGACCAACTGACCGGTTGGTTAAATGGACCAGTTGGACCAACTGGCTCGTTGGTCCAGTGGACCAGTTGGACCAACTGTCCCGTTGGTCCAGTCGACCAGGTGGACCAACTGGCGCGTTGGTCAAATGGACCGGTTGGACCAACTGGCCTGTTGGTCCAATGGACCGGTTGGACCAACTGGCCCGTAGGTCCCCTGGACCGGTTGGACCAACTGGCTCGTTGGCCTGATGGACGGGTTGGACTAACTGGCCCGTTGGTCGAGTGGACGGGTTGGACCAACTAGCTGGCCCGTTGGTCCGATGGACCGGTTGGACCCCGTTGGTCTGATGGACGGGTTGGACCAACTGGCTTGTTGGTCCGATGGACCGGTTGGGCCAAGCGGCCCGTTGGTCTGATGGACCGGTTGGGCCAACCGGCCCGTTGGTCCGATGGAACGGTTGGACCCCGTTGGTCCGATGGACCGAATGGACCAACCGGCCCGTTGGTCCGATGGACCGGTTGGACCATCCAGCCCGTTGGTCCGATGGACCGGTTGGACCAACCGGCCCGTTGGTCTAGTGGACGGGTTGGACCAACTGGCTTGCCCGTTGGTCCGATGGACCGGCTGGACCCTGTTGGTCAAATGGACAGTTTGGACCAACTCGCTCGTTGGTCCGATGGACGGGTTGGACCAACTGGCTTGTTGGTCCGATGGACCGGTTGGGCCAAGCGGCCCGTTGGTCCGATGGACCGGTTGGGCCAACCGGCCCGTTGGTCCGATGGACCGGTTGGGCCAACCGGCCCGTTGGTCCGATGGACCGGTTGGACCCCGTTGGTCTGATGGACTGAATGGACCAACCGGCCAGTTGGTCCGATGGACCGGTTGGACCAACCGGCCCGTTGGTCCGATGGACCGGTTGGACCAACCGGCCCGTTGGTCCGATGGACCGGTTGGACCAACCGGCCCGTTGGTCCGATGGACCGGTTGGACCAACCGGCCCGTTGGTCCAATGGACCGGTTGGACCAACTGGCCCGTTGGTCTGATGGACCGGTTGGACCCTGTTGGTCCGATGGACGGGTTGGACCAACTGGCCTGTTGGTCCGATGGACGGGTTGGACCAACTGGCTTGTTGGTCCGATGGACCGGTTGGGCCAAGCGGCTCGTTGGTCCGATGGACTGGTTGGGCCAACTGGCCCGTTGGTCCGATGGACGGGTTGGGCCAACCAGCCCGTTGGTCCGATGGACCGGTTGGACCCCGTTGGTCCGATGGATCGGCTGGACCAACCAGCCCGTTGGTCTGTTGGATGGGTTGGACCTAATGGCTTGTTGGTTTGATGGACGAGTACGACCAACTGGCTCGTTGGTTCGATGGACGGGTTTTGACACGATCAAGAGTTCGGCAAAGCACGAAGTCGCCAACAGCCTCAACATGCAACCGTCGACACGAGCTGACTTGCCGTGTGCCTCGTGCGTCGGTAGGAAGCTGGCACGGCACACCTTCCCCGACAAAGGTTCGGACGCCGAGGAGCCTCTAGCTGTCGTGCACACTGACTTGTGCGGGCCATTCCGGGTGGCTGCCAATGATGGCAGCCTGTACTTCCTCTCCTGCCGAAGGACCGCCACACCTGATATGTGTGGGTGAAGCTAGTCGCTAGCGATAAACAAGAAGACGGTGTTGATGCTTCGTTTTGACCGCGGAGGGGAGTTCCTCGGGAAGGAGTTTACCGACTTCGTCGACGGGAAGGGCATCGTCCACGATCTGACCTGACTGTATACTCCGCAACAGAACGGCATGGCTAAGCGGGAGATGCGCACGGTCGTCGACTCCGTGTTGACGATGCTGCTTGTCGGAGAACACCTCTCCTCCCCGCTGCTGTTCTTCTTCTTGCCGCCCTTCTTCCCCACCTGCCCTCTCTCTCTCTCTAATGGTACGTATATTGATAGGTCAGAAAGGTACACACATGCCAGATTGCACAAACCAAAACTAGACGGGTCCACAGAGCAAAACCACAACACCCTCTACCTCTCAAAGAGAGGCTCCAACACCGCAAAACAGTCCCCTAGGTGTAACTCCTGCCCTATTCCTCCTACGGGAGGGTTCTCTGCTGCAGCCGCCTCACCCAACTTGATTAGGAGCCCCATGGATGGGGCCCTCTGAAGGGCCACCGACCACCTCTGCCTGAATTGGTGCAGAAACTTGGCGGCATAGTAAGATTTTGAGTCGGCGTTGAAGTGGCGCCGAGCCGCTGTGTCTGCCAGGAGCTTGAGGAAGACAGGTACCTCGGCGCATGGGCAGCCGTAGGTGTCTACTGCCAGTGGGAAGAAGCCAACCGTCTCCAGGCGGTTGGCGTAATGCTTGATTTTCTTATCGGCTTGTTCACGTGCCGCCCATCCCCTGCCCTTTTGTGCTTCCGGGTCCCTAGTGCTGATAGGGTCAGTGATGGTAACGTCGCAGATGTAAACCGCTCCACTGCTTCTATCGGTCATGGTGAAGTCGGCCGTTTGCTCCTCGATAGGGCAGTAGGCGGCCGACTCCCTGTGTACTATAAACCCCGCATCTTGCGCCATGCTAACGCAGGCGTCCCGCAGCTCGTTGTGCGTGTTCGTGCGGTGCTTGCCTGTGCCGCAGTGGAGCAGGGTGGTTCGGGAGGCGGGGGTCAGTGATAGCCGTGTGGTCCGCGCAGTCGCAGTTCTTGGGAGTTGAAAACGGTAGGCCAAGTCGGAAGCGGACCGCGTTGGCGAAGTGCACTGGCCCTATCCGCCTTGCGGGAGCGATGGGGATCGCGGTGAGCCAGTCGCCTGTGCCGTAGCCAGTCAGTGAAAACATCCGCTGCGTGTGACCTGCAAGCGGATTCGGCTTCATGCGCCTCGTTGCCTGCACCTGCTTTGCGTATCTGCTCCCGTGGACCTTGAGTCCTAGCACGTGTTGGAGCCGAATGTCAGAACGCTCAAGCCGCTCTTTCTCCAATATCTCCCGTCAGAACCCAGGAAGGTGACACCGTCAGCATATGCCAAGCACAGCACGTCAGGGTGTGCCTCGGCTGTTTCGCGAAGTGTGGCGTGTATCCCTGCTGCAAATAGTAGCGGCCCAAGTGGGTCCCCTTGGCGCACGCCACGTTCACTTGTTAGTGGTGCGCTATTGAAATTGGAGTCCAGTAGCAGTTGCGACGGGTTATCGTATGTCAGTTTCACGAGCGGCAGCAGAGGCGAGAGGGTGGGTTCGTGTAACGCGTCGGCGATGGCGGCCCGCGAAATGCTGTTGAACGCGTTTGAAATGTCGGCTTGCAGTACCAGGCTGTCCGGGCGGGCATCCGAAAAAGCCCTGGCTGTGTGGATCACTGCCTCTGCTCCTACGTTGGCAGATACGCGTCCCAGGGTATAATACGCTAGCGTATTATACGCTGGGTATATACGCGGTACGCCAGGGCTGGCGTACTGGTGATACGCAAAAATACGCTGGGCGGGCAGGTAAAACTTTTTTCCCGGGCAGGGCTAAAAAAACCTGTTTCAGGGGGGGGGATTGTTTTCCAAGAACGCAAGTCATAATTTAAATTTCATAAATATCCAGAAATACATATTTGGGGCTACTTCTCCCCATACATCCCCACCCCACCCCACCCTCTAGCTAGCTTCCCCACAACCGATTTCCTTGCGGGGCTTTTCCACTGCCACACCTTCCCCATACTCATCTGCCAGCACTGCATCCTCCCCTTCCTCCCCCAGCATGTCATCCTCCTCATCCATGTTATAGCCGGGGGGGATAGGGGCATCCGGGATGTTACCGGGCACAACCGTGCTGCCCCCATCCTTCTTGTACCAATTGCGCACAACGTTGAAATTGTGCGCAATGTAGACGAGGTCCGCACACTTGGCGGACCCGAGCCGGTTGCGGCGGGCGGTGTGGACGCCTTCCCACTGCGCCCAGCCACGCTCGCATGGGGAAGCCGAGACGGGCTGAGTGAGCACCCGGCATGCAAGGGCGGCAAGCTCAGGATACTCGGTGCTGTGCCACGACCACCACTGCACCATGCTCATCTCCCCCTTCTTCACTGCCTCCCTTGCAGAAATGGCGCCCGGCTTGCCAAAGCTGCCCTCCATGTTGATGTAGGCCAGCAATGCCTCCTGCAGCACAAGGGAGGCGCGGCGAGGGGCGCCATCCTTGCCACTCTTGAAGGTCTTGTTGTCATAGTGGCGCTCGATGTAGTCCTTGAACACCCGCGTGCACTCCACATCGTTCCTGAAAATTCCCTCCTCCTGGTTGGCCGGATTCAGGATCCGGCCAACCACATGCATGGGGCAGGCAAGGGAGTTGTCCCACCTGTCCTTCACAATCTTGGTGATGTCTGCCCTCTCTGTCCGAGTCAAGAAGTCACTTGAAGCGTCGAGCTTGTCATTGATGTCCTCGGTAAGCTGTAGCATGATGTCATACAGCTTACCCATCATGCCTTTCGCGGAAGAGTCCGTGGCCCGCATGGCCTTGAATGGCACCGCCATGAGAGAGGTAAAGAACTCCGCCACCCCCCACCACTCCTCATCCATCACAGCAGCCCTGAATTTCTCAGCTGCTGTCTTCCTATCCTTGTCCGCCGCTGCCCACACCTTCCACTCGTCGCTGAGCACCATCGCCGCCAGCCCACTCCTCACCTCACATAGCCGGGCCATGGCTATGTATTGTGTCCCGAACCTGGTTCCCGCAGGCTTGAGCACCTGCTTCCCCCCCACTTTCTTCATATAGGCACGGGTAAATTGGTGGTTGCGCACGAAGGTAATCATCTCCCCTCCTTTCTCCACAAGCCCCTTCGCCCATCCCATTTTGCCCATATCTTCCATCATCAGGTCCAGGACATGCGTGGCACATGGCACATGCTCAATGTGCGGCCATGTGCTCGCAATCTTCTTGGCGGCCGATGCATAGTTGCTGCCGCCATCGGTGCAGACCGCCACCACATTCTCCGGCCCCACCTTATCAATGACGGGGCGGAGAAGGCTGGCGATGTAACCCCCGGTCTTCGACTCCATGTTGCAGTCCACCGCCTGCTCGAAAACTGCGCCGGAGTCGTTGACAAGGAGCACGTTGGCCTGCGGGCGGCCACAACGGTCGGTCATCATGTCCGACGACACCGTTACCCCGTCCCGCTTCCAGCTCGCGGCAACGGGGGCGAGCGCGACCTCCATTTTCTGCCGCACCTTCTTCAAGCCTGCCCCTCCAATGTAGCGCCTCTTAGGAGGGACGTACCCAGGTCCAGCGCGCGCAATGCACTGGACCGCGTAGCGGAAGACCGGATCGTCCGCAATGCGCTCCGGACGTTTCAGCGCCGCGAACAGAAGGCAAAGCGCGTTATCCGCGTCCTCCTTGGCGCACGTCGCCTCATTGCCAAAGAAATCCGTAATTTTGCTCTTTTTCTCCGGGTTTCCACTGACAGCGTCAAGCGCGGAGTGAATTGCAGCAGCGGCCGCCCCTCGCTTCAAGTCCTGCTGTTCCGCCTTGGTCTCGTACATGCCACGGACTTCATCGCGGACTGTCGTGGGCGCGTCCTTGCATAACGCCACAGCGCGCTTCTCCTGCCCTTTCCATGTCATGAGATGGATTGCACAGCGGTTTGTTCCGCCCTCGAACTTCTTGCCACAGAACTTGCACAGCTTGGGGTTGCCTTTGGTGTGAAACGGAATGAGGAAATGTTTCAGAATGGGGTGAGATAGTCCAGCCTCAACAGGATCCGTGTTGACGGTAGTAGAGCCATGGACAGAGGCTGGATTGTTGTTCGTCGAAGTACTAGGAGCTGAGCCCGACGCCATGGCGCACTACGTAAGTCTAACTAACGAAGAAGAGTGGAGAAATGCGGGAAGGAAATGGAAGAGCATTTGCGCAACGTCTGTCAGACTTATATGCTATAGTCTGTGTAGGCTGTAGTGGGGTAGCTCATATGGGGTACAACACTTTAGGGTTTCCTACTTGTACTCCTCATGCTGCTCAATGCAATCATTCCTTGTTCTTTCACATGGTATAGAGCAGGTTCCCTAGTGGGAACGCTTCCTTGGGCCCACCACTGAAACTTTTTTTCTGACCGGAGCGCCAGTCGCTCCTGCCCGAGGCGCGCCTTGTGGGCCGCCCTTCTGTCGAGCTCTCTTAGAGGCCCCTCTCACGGCCCCTCGCGCCACCCTTAGCGGCCCCGTCGCCGCCCCTAGCGGCCCCGTCGCCGCTCCCCTCCCTACGCGGCCCCGTCACCGCCCCTACGCGGCCCCGTCGCCGCCCCTAGCGGCCCCGTCGCCGCTCCCCTCCCTACGCGGCCCCGTCGCCGCCCCTACGCGGCCCTGTCGCCGCCCCTAGCGGCCCCGTCACCGCCCCTAGCGGCCCCGTAGCCGCCTCTCTCCCTACGCGGCCCCGTCGCCGCCCCTACGCGGCCCCGTCGCCGCCCCTAGCGGCCCGTCGCCGCCCCTACGCGGCCCCGTCGCCGCCCCTAGCGGCCCCGTCGCCGCCTCCCTCCCTACGCGGCCCCGTCGCCACCCTTACGCGGCCCCGTCGCCGCCCCTAGCGGCCCCGTCGCCGCTCACCTCCCTACGCGGCCCCGTCGCCGCCCCTACGCGGCCCCGTCGCCGCCCCTAGCGGCCCCGTCGCCGCCCCTACGCGGCCTCGTCGCCGCCCCTAGCGGCCCCGTCGCCGCTCACCTCCCTACGCGGCCCCGTCGCCGCTCCTAGCGGTCCCGTCGCCGCCCCCAGCGGCCCCGTCGCCGCCTCTCTCCCTACGCGGCCCCGTTGCCGCCCCTACGCGGCCCCGTCGCCGCCCCTAGCGGCCCCGTCGCCGCCCCTACGCGGCCCCGTCGCCGCCCCTAGCGGCCCCGTCGCCTCCTCCCTCCCTACGCGGCCCTGTCGCCGCCCCTACGCGGCCCCGTCGCCGCCCCTAGCGACCCCGTCGCCGCCTCCCTCCCTACGCGGCCCCGTCGCCGCCCCTACGCGGCCTCGTCGCCGCCCCTACGCGGCCCCGTCGCCGACCCTAGCGGCCCCGTCGCCGCTCCCCTTCCTACGCGGCCCAGTCGCCGCCCCTAGCGGCCCCTTCGCCGCCCCTACCCGGCCCCGTCGCCGCCCCTAGCGAGCAGCCGAGCCGCCGAGCCGCCCAGCAGCCGAGCAGCCGAGTCGCCCAGCAGCTGAGCCGCCCCTGGAGCAGCCGCCACTGCAGCAGCCGCCCCTGGAGCAGCCGCCACTGCAGCAGCCGCCCCTGCAGCAGCCGCCCCTGGAGCAGCCACCCCTGCAGCAGCCGCCCTTGGAGCAGCCGCCCCTGGAGCAGCCGCCACTGCAGCAGCCGCCCCTGCAGCAGCCGCCCCTGGAGCAGCCACCCCTGCAGCAGCCGCCCCTGGAGCACCCGCCCCTGCAGCAGCCGCCCCTGGAGCAGCCGCCCCTACAACTGCCGCCCTTGGAGCAGCCACCCCTGCAGCTGCCGCGGAGCTCTCGCCCTACAGTGGTAGCGGCCTCGCCGTTACCGCCGTCGTACGCTTGCCTTTCTCGCCACTGGTGAGCACTGCCCTGCCCGTACTGCTGTTACTGCTGCGCTTGCTGCTACTGCTCTTTCTACTGCTACTACTGCTCCTGGCGTGGCCAGATGCAGCTCCAGCGTCGCCCGCGTGAGTCCCTCACCCCCCAACAGCTTCGTGAGTGGTACGCTAGTTGGGGTTGTCGGGGTGGCCGTAGTGGGAGTCGTCCTGGAGTGAGTAGTTCCACAACTGCTTGTAGTGGCCAGGTGCAGCCGCAGCGTCGCCCGCGTGAGTCCCTCACCCCCGAACAGCTTCGTGAGTGGTACGCTAGTTGGGGTTGTCGGGGTGGCCGTAGTGGGAGTCGTCCTGGAGTAAGTAGTTCGGCAGCTGCTTGTAGTGGCCAGGTGCAGCTTCAGTGTCGTCCGCGCGCGGTCCTTTCGCCCCAGCAGCTTCGTGAGTGGTACGCTCAGCGTGACGGGTCACGGGGTACTGCTCGCTGTCCGTACGTCATTCGCACTGGTGCTCGGACTGGTCAGCCTTGCAGGACGCTTGGTCACGCAGAGTCCCGCTGCTTCGCCCGTCTGAGCGACGCCTGGCGTACGGAGTTTGGCGACGCGGCTGAGCTCCCCGACTGGGTGGAGCTGCTTCGGCTGCGGGTAGATATCTATAATCTTGACTATGATGCTATCCTCACTGCCATGTATGCATTGCCTACTAGTGATGAGGGTGACTGTTACCTGTGTGTTCCGCCTGACCCGGGCATTGAGGCTGCTGCTCTAGGTGCTGGTGAGGCTGCTGCTCTAGGTGCTAGTGCGTCTGCTGCCCCAGGTGCTGGTGAGTCTGCTCTCTCAGGTACCACGTCGGCTCAGGCCTTACACACCTTCACTCTTGACTCGGGTGCTTCCCGCTCCTTTCGAGACCGCACCACGCTTACGCCGCTCAGTCGGCCGGTTGCGGTCTCCCTGGCGGACCCCTCTGGGGGTCCTGTCCTTGCTCGCTTCTCCACTGTCTTACCCTGTCCGGCAGCCCCCTCTGGCACCCTGTCAGGTCTCTACCTCCCCTCGTTCTCTACGAACATGGTGAGTGGAGCTGATCTACAGGATCGGGGGGTTGACCAGTTCACGCCTGCGAGTCAGCGGGTGACCCACTGTACGTGTGCTCGGACGGGCCGACACTTGGCCACGTTTACCCGTCAGCCGGGGTCGAGCCTGTACACACTGACCACTCAGTCTCCTCCTGTTGCTGCGTCTGGTCAGGTAGCTGCGTCGAGTCAGGTGTTTGCTGCAGCGTCCAGGTCTGGTCCTGAGTCTGCGCCCTGCTCGTGTCGTCTCCTGTCCCACCAGACTCTCCTTTGGCACCACCGCCTTGGTCACCCCTCCCTGCCTCGTCTCCGAGGCATGGCCTCACGTGTCCTTGTCTCTGGTCTCCCCCGGTCCCTCCCCACCCTACCTCCGGGGCCTGCCCCTACCTGCGTCCCCTGCGTCGAGGGGCGGCAGCGCGCCGCCCCTCACTCCTCCGAGTTTCCTCCGACAGAGGCTCCCTTGCAGACTCTTCACATGGACGTGTGGGGCCCCGCCCGCGTCCGTGGCCAGGGTCACGAGCGTTACTTCCTGTTGGTGGTTGACGACTACTCGCGTTACACCACGGTGTTCCCCTTGCGCAGCAAGGGTGACGTAACTGAGGTGTTGATCGACTGGATCCGCGCAGCTCGTCTCCAGCTCAGAGAGAGTTTCGGCTCGGACTTTTCTGTTCTGCGTCTGCACTCTGACAGAGGCGGGGAGTTTTCCTCTGCCCGTCTGGGAGCCTTCTGTCGTGCACAGGGCATCCGCCAGACCTTCACGCTTCCGGCCTCTCCACAGCAAAATGGGATTGCTGAGCGCCGCATTGGCATGGTCATGGACGTCGCTCGTACGTCCATGATCCATGCAGCTGCTCCCCATTTTCTGTGGCCGTTTGCGATTCAGTACGCAGCGCATCAGCTCAACCTTCAGCCCCGGGTCTCCTTGCCAGAGACCTCCCCCACCTTGCGGTGGACGGGGAAGGTTGGCGATGCGTCTGCGTTTCGGGTCTGGGGATCTCGGGCGTTTGTCCGCGACTTGTCTGCGGACAAGCTGTCCCCCCGTGCTGTTCCCTGCGTCTTCTTTGGCTTCCCCCCTGACGCGCCTGGTTGGCAGTTTTACCACCCCACCTCGCGCCGTGTTCTGTCCTCCCAGGACGTCACCTTTGACAAGTCGGTGCCTTACTACCGTCTCTTCCCCTACCGCACTGCGCCCCTCCCCCCGCCGCCGCTCTTCCTTGCGCCAGGTCCCCCCCCGGTAGACCCTCCCCCCTCAGGGTCCTGCCCCGTCAGGTGTGTCCCAGGTAGACGCAGTCGAGCCTGTCGAGGAAGCTGTTGACTCTGGTGCTGCTAGGGGCGCTGAGCCTGCGGGTGCCGGGTCTGGGGGTGCGGGGCCTGGGGGTGCTGAGTCTAGGGGTGCTGCGCCTGGGGGTGCTGAGTCTGGGGGTGCTGAGCCTGGGGGTGCTGAGTCTAGGGGTGCTGAGCGTGGGGGTGCTGAGTCTGGGGGTGCGGAGCCTGGGGGTGCTGAGCCTGGGGGTGCGGAGCCTGGGGGTGCTGGGTCTGCTCGTGTGGCCTCTGGCGGTGCTTCGTCGAGGCGGGAGCTACTCTCTCCGCAGGAGCTGCGCGAGTGGTTTGCCCGGCGCTGGAGCCGTGCTGCTGGAGCTGGAGGTACTACTGTTGCTGCTGGTCCTGGAGGTGCTCGTCTTGGCGGTTCTGGAGCTGCTGGGACTGGGAGTCCTGCAGGAGGTACTGCTGGCGCTGCTGGCGGTACTGGAGCTGACGGTCCTGCTGGAGTTGGTGCTGCTGGAGCTGCGGGAGCTGCTGGAGCTGGTGCTTCTGAGGGTGCTGGAGTTGGCGCTGTTGGAGCTGGAGGTGCTGCTGGCGCTGGTGCTGCCGCTGGGGGTACTTGTGCTGTCCCTGCTGGTTCTGGAGGCGCTGCGCGGCCGAGGCCGTACTTCGTTCCGCTCCTTGAGCAGGTTCTTGGTCTCCCGCCCTCTACTGGTCCTGCTCCTCCCTTAGCGTGTCCACAGCCTGTCCAGTCGCGGTCACAGTTACAGCCCGCCTCCCCCCTGCCTGCTCCTTCTCCCTACACTGGTCCTACTGGAGGTCTTGCTGAGCGTCGTGAGCCTGCGTCTCGTCCTGCGTCGCCTGTTCGTGCTGCTCGCACTAGTGGTCGTGCTCCGCGTCCGCGTCCTCCTGCGGTCCCCGGCACACACCAGATGGCACTGCGTCCTTCCACTGCTCCTCTGCGTGTCCCGTTGCCGTCTCCTCCA